CAGGATATTGTCGAGGAATGGATTGGCATGTCTCTTGACACTCCGATATGCATAAATAATGAATGGGAGTGCCTTGTTTCCATGGGTCATCAGAGCATCTCTTTTAAAAAGTATGGTGAAATTGTGCGCATTATTAGACATTTGTTATGTTTATTGGCATTAAATATGTGACAATTGTTCTAAAAATGGTACTCAAATCTGGCAAGTGGAATGTGTTATTCTGCACATTGCTTGTTTATTTTAATGTTTGTAATTTATAAGACAACTGAATTGTATTTGGTTAAAATTTAAAAAAAATTATTTGGCCTTTATGAAAGGCAGAATATAAAATATACCCTGATATGACTTTTTAAATTAAATGTCTGCATTCAAAGGCATTTTTACAATTTATATTTATCATATTTAAAAAACAACAACAACACTTTAGATATATTATATTTAGACACTAGTGTTGCAGACGTCTACGTTGTCTAAAATCACCATAACATATGCTTTTTTTTTATCTATTCCCATTTTTTTAAGGTAACATTTAATTTCTTTTCATCATCATGGTGACACTGATATGCATCTCTTTTACATTTTAAATACATTTTTTTAGTTTTCATTTGCATTCTTTTGAGTTGTCGTTTGTTTTGATGGCAGGTTTTATTTGAGAACTACAGAGCGCCAGCCTCCTTTGTTGCTTACCAGCCCATGCTAACCAAACACGCCATTGGCCTGAGCCGAGGTTTGATGGTGTCCATAGGTGAGGGCAGTAGTCATGTGGCTCCAATCATTGATGGCTTCATACTTTACCAAGCTGTCAGGAGGCTAGACTGTGGAGGTCGTGACATCACAAGGCATCTCCAGCAGCTGCTCATAAAGCAGGGCTATAGTTTTACCACTGCCCATGAGCTGGAGATTGTCAGAGAACTGAAAGAGAAATACTGCTACATACCTGATGGCAACAAGTTAAGTGCCAAAGTGCAGTCATGCAAAATTTCAGACGGCTCATCTATTGAACTAGATAGAAAAATATTTGCATGTCCTAAAATCTTGTTCAAACCAGACAGTGTTTTCAAAGCTGGAATGAGTATTGCTGAAATAATTTTTGAGTCAATAAATGACACTGACATAGATAACAGATCAGACCTTCTGAACACCATTTGTCTTTCAGGGGGTACAACCCTCTGTCCTGGGTTCGCTGAACGTCTAAAGAAGGATATGTTTTCTCTGTCTGACAAGAAAAATCCTAGAATGAAAATTTGGACATTCCCGAAAAGACAGTTGCACAAATGGATGGGTGGTTCTGTTCTAGGGGCATTGTCCTCTTTCAACCATATGTGGATAACTCGCCAAGAATACGAAGAATATGGACCACACATTTTCAACCTTCGTTGTTATGGGGAATAGACAGAATAGCGAAAACTGAAGTGAAACTTTCATATCATATACGCTAGAACAAATTCGTACAAGTGCTCTTTCTTCCTAGTGCCATTAGAGAATGAAATGGGCTGCCTGAATCAGCCAAGAAAACCAATGACTTAACAGAGTTTATGTCATTGATTAACATGCGTGACTAGATTGACACATGAAATGCATAAGACGTAATTATCTTCCTTTTTGAAGTAACGTCTGTAATATACAAGATAAGAAGATAAATAAATACAGAAGAATGATGCTGAAAACTATTAATTCATAGGCAGGATGTAATGCTATTCATTCATGCACCTATCAAATCTCATAATTATGTGTTAAAATATCTTTGTAATAGAAACATTTGTAATGTTATTTTCATTTGATATAAAAAAAATTTTTATCCATACCAGAATGTATTCATTGTTACTGACATACTTTTTGCTAGACTCTTCTCAATTAAAATGCACTAAGGAATGGAATCAGTGTAACATTTTGTTAATTCTAAAATTAATTATTTCACATTTAGAAGGGTAAAATTAAACTCAGACTACTTATTTATTAGGCCAGTACATCGCATGACTTGTTCTCACCTATGACGTATTGACATATTTTAGGGCTTTTATCATAGCACCACCATGATAACTCCTATGATCTTGTCTTATTTATACTCATAAAAAGTATAGTAACCACAAGGCAATGAATGATGCTTTAGTTTTGAACAATTTTGATTTTAAAAAATTCTCCCACACAAAAATTTAAATCTAGATTTCTGTTTTATGAAAACTTTCTTCAGTAAGCTACTGGTATTTCTGGTAATCAAATCCTTTATTTTGCTTTGATATTTAAAATCAAATCCTTAATTTTGCTTTGGTATTTATAATCGAATCCTTAATTTTGCTTTGGTATTTATAATCGAATCCTTAATTTTGATTTGATATTTAAAATCGAATCCTTAATTTTGATTTGATATTTAAAATCAAATCCTTAATTTTGCTTTGATGTTTAAAATCAAATCCTTTATTTTGATTTGATGTTATGAAATTTTTTCTTTTTGAACTTCAACAAAACCCTTAGGCTGTATTATTTGAAAAGTGTATACATTGAGATGCTGTACAACTGTGTGACGTCTAATTGATAGCAGCCATTCTGGAATGTTAATTTTACACCAAGTTTTTCTTTCTTGCATTTACAGGTCATGTTTGAGACATACAAGACGCCTGCATTCTTTTTGGCATATCAGCCGCTGATGAGCTTATTTGGGTCCTTTCAGAATGAAGGTATCGTCGTCACGGTTGGAGACAGTGTTACACATGTGGTGCCATTCACCGAAAACCTATCTCAGAACCATGTTGCTAGGAGGCTTGATTTTGCTGGGCGTGACTTAACCCGTTACTTGCAGCAACTTCTTTTCAAGAGCAATTATAGTTTTACATCAAGCCATGAACTGGAGCTAGTCAGAGAGGTGAAGGAAAGCTTGTGCTTCGTGGCCAAGGACAGGTACCACCTCAAGCAGCTTGCCTCTGCGACAGAGTCTAAGTGCGCTGCCGCATACACCCTTCCTGATGGGGCCAAAGTCCAGATGGACAGCGAGAGATACCTGTGCCCTGAGCTGCTGTTTGAGCCCGATAATGACTTTCACAGAGGTAAAAGCATACCGAAGCTGATAGAGAGCACAATCAACGAGGTGGACATTAGCTGCCGCAGGAACATGTACTCTTGTGTCATAATTTCAGGGGGATCCACCTTCTTCCCTGGCTTCACCCAGAGGCTTCACAAAGAACTTTTGTCTCTCTCCCCACCTGGTGTTCATCACGTTAGAATCTGTGCCAAGCCTGAAAGGCAGCACTTGGAATGGATTGGAGGATCCGTGATAGCGTCCCTGTCAAGCTTCAACACCAGCTGGATAAGCAAAGAGTTGTATGAAGAATATGGTCCCAGTATAGTTTGCAGAGAGTGCCTCTCACACTAACACAAATCCTTATTGTCTTTTGAGATTAATTTCTGTTTCAATTTAGCCAAGACGCCCAGCCTTGAGGATGTTCACAGCAAGGCCTGGCTCATGTCATTGAGCTCTTCATATTGTGGCCAGATATTTAGTGCTGCGCATATCTTGGGTTTTCAGATCCAGTTAAGTCAATATTGAATAAGTTCTCTTGTGATGTTTCTTCTCTCTCCTTGATACATGAAGTTCAGTGCATTTATTTTGTTTCATTTCCTGACATTCCAAAGGCTAATGTTTTTATTTATTAACATGCTTTTGTGTTCAAGTGTTGATTATATACATTACTCATTCGACTAGTCTATTTATTTTACACAGCTCTTTGAATAAACTTTCTTGTAAATTAAAAACTTGTCCAGCTATTTGACTTTCAAGGGATAAGGAAAATAAAAGATTTTTGGTGCCTTTGAAGTAAACATTTACAAGAGAGCCAAAACAAAGTGGATGATAATATTTCAAATCTTTCTGGAGAGACAATAGAGCCATTGCTATAGATACTGACTACTAGTAGCACTTTTACTCTTTACTCAGTACATATACTAATATTGGAATGACCAAGATACTTGCCACTCACAAGAGAGCCAAAACAATTAACTACACCTACACGACTCAGATACTTGTCACTCACAAGAGAGCCAAAACAAGATAATTTTTATTGCTCCAATCAAATGGAAATTTAGTATGACTACTATTGACCACCTCAGCGTAACTACTGTAACAATAACAATATAAATGCTAATACGAACAACATTCACACATGAAACACATATGCACTCACAACCATCGTTTTTATGAATTAGACATGATGACAGATTACCTTGTAACACTCTTGATAAAAGAGTTTTAAAATCTTTCTGTTTTAGTCTTAATGGAAAGGAGACGACCACTTCTTTCAGGTCTGATGTAACAGTACCCAGTAGTTTAATGAATGCAGGTTTTCATTGAGAATTGTGTGTGTTTTGGAAAAGCAGCTTTCATGAAAAAGTTATTAAAGAGAGGGTAGCTGTGTTCGAGTCGTATATGATGCTTTTTTAATTAGTCTATGTCTTTGTGCCAGTGAAGTATTACCATACCAGCAGGTGATGGCAAAGTAAATTAGACTGCTGATGGTTGCTGTTTAGAAAAGTTTAATTATTGTTATGTTGATTTTAAATTTTCGTACCTATCTAAGATCAAGAGTCGTTGATGAATTTTGGTGTAGATCACTGATAGAATTTTTAGAATTGCTGAACTGTTCCAGGTCATTCTGAATTATTAAGTTAAAATTGTTAAATTTTAGTGGTAGCATATCACGAATGCAGGTTGCAACTGGGGCTGTATGACCTTGTGAAATGTTGCATTATCTCTAATCCTCAAAGACAATGTATAATAAAAAAAAAAAGAGAAAAATTAAATACACAGGCACACTATTTTTTTTAAAAAGCTGATATTCGCTTATCCAAGCTTTTCTGGACAATTTTTTTCTATGACAGTAGACAACAAAAGCATATGAAAACAGAGAACACTTCCATAATAAGACCAAAAAAAAAATAAAATAAATGGCCAGGTATAAAATGATAACAAACCAGGTGTTAAAATAAAATAAACTAATAAAAAGATTTCAATAGAGGTGAGTTCAATTTATTTATTACATAAATACATTTTGATGAACAAAAAATAATATATTACTATAAATGTCTTACCTTAGCATCAGAATGTTTATGAATATTAGACGACTAACCCGTACTTGTTGTACAATATTCAACCTTATATAAAAATAACTACTATACTTTAGCTGAACAAAGAAGTATTGCATCGCTGTTATATCTTAACAGGATAAATTTAAGTTTTAATGCAAGACTATTATTAAAAAAAAACAGTTAATTCCTAACACTGTTGAATGTTATTTTATGTAAACACAATCTACACATCAAAGGAATGTCAATAGACATGAATTAGAGTTTGATTTGCTAGTTGCAGATGTTCTGCACCATCAGGAGTGAGCCCTGAAGACTTTGTTAGTTTGCATTTTTTTTGTTTTACAGTATGTGTAGTTAAAAGGCCGTCATAGAGTCCAATTGCTGTAATAATCTCTTTTTCAAGACCATGGTAAAAAGAGGCTAATAAAACCTTTTTAAAAGCTGTAATAACAATCTACAATCTTAATGTGGAGATGGCCCACAGAATGAAAATTCAGCCTAGACAAGTTGTAACTTTTTTTTGTTACTCCAAATCTCGAATTAGGTCAAACTTTTCACTATGTGATATCTGTCATGGCAGTTATGCAGAGAACCAAATAAAGAAAGAAAATAAGTGTACCATTCCATATTAAACATCTGCATAATAATATGTCTTTATTATCCTTGAAGAAATCTAACAAATGTGATGTACACAAAACAAAACATTATAATGACAGCAAACAAAATATTCACTCGTACCACAGCTTTACTCAAACATGTTATAGATAGAATGAGATATTTAGTACAAATCTAAAAAAACAACTCATTTTTTTAAAGTTTAATTCATTCTTATTAATTTACTTTAACTTAACACTTTTGTATAAATCCATGATCCACCATTATAAATATGGTTCAAGGGGTTATAAAAAAGTTTCTAATAAACTCTATCATATTTCATTAACTGGTCAAGGGCTAAGCACTTCACTTAGACAATGTAAGTAATCATTTCCAACTCATACTGAGATCAGTAAATGCAGGTCACAGTTGAAATACAAAGTTTAACACTTTCTTGTCAATCAGCTGAATAAAAACAAACATACATTGCAATTTTCTTGATATTGTTACACTCTCTGCATTCTTTGGTCAGCACTGTACAAACATCGCCTAGAGTTGGACGTCTGTCAATCTTTCATTCCATATCTCATCAAGAAGTAAAGGTCCACAAAAAATATCACCAGCCCAGAGCTGAGGCCTGCCAACATTTTCTAAAGAAACAAAACAATTAGAATTAAAATAAAAAAGGTTAACATTTCTTTTCAATTCTCATTGCTTTAAACAGTTAATCCAATCACTAAGACAATAAATATTAGTAGCGAACAAATATTCGTCCAAATTTCTATTGAATATGTACTTATAGGCGTATTAGCCTAACAATTAGTCAATAAGGTTATGGAACATTCTTATATCCTTACAAATCTTGGACACAGACTGCAGAACTAGAAAGGAAGATCCGAGCAATGGAACTGAGATGCTACAGAAAGATCCTAAGTATCACATACAATGATGGCATCACAAATGAAGAGATAAGAGACAGGATTTGTACAGTAATTGAACCCCAATGACCTGCAAACTACGAAAAAAAAAAAACGCAAATTAAACTCTTATAGCCATATTACAAGGTCTTCAGGGCTCTAAAAGACCTTTCAAGGAACAGTAACAAGAAAAGGAAGAAGAGGCAGACAGAGAAAGTGATGGCTAGACCGCATCAAAGAATGTCAGGGCTTGTCATTGAAGGAGATTCTATCCAAGGTAAAAGACAAGAGGAATGGAGGAAGAAGTTCAAAATATCTTGTGTGGTGCCCCAAAGGTCCAACAGACTTAGGGATAGGTAAAGGGTAAACTAAAATCTAACCTGTCTTCTAAGATGTTCATACAGCTCACAAGTTAATAAAATAACAACATAAACATTCATAGTTTTAAAATTAGAAATGATAAAAATCTTTTTTTTTTTGTGTGATGAATAGTCAACATGAAACTAGATGGGAGGCGAACAAGACCTCTTCCTGGCTACCTTGGGTGAGCTTTTTTTTTTATCTCACTCGGGGTGGGGATGGAATGACATTAAAAGTAGAGGGTTCAATTGCAAGAGAGGTAACAAATCCCCACCATGAGTGAGATAAAAAAAAAAGCTCACTCAAGGTAGCTAGGAAGAGGTCTTGTTCGGGGTGTCTAAGATGTGAGATTGTGGGTGTGTTTGTTTATTTTATTAGTTGGTTTGTGAATTGTTTTTATGACAGGATTTTCAAGGGGGGACAATAAGGTTTTCCTAGTGGTCAGTCTAGCAGTTGGAGAGCTGACTTGGTCTGAGTAGGGTGCTTGTGATTGTTTATGCCTAGTGTAAGGAGATGTTATATTATTATTCTTGCTATGTGTGTGAATGGACTATTCAGGGGTAATATTATGTGTGGCATTGATGGCCTTTGTTAATTGAATCTAGTCTAAGCGCCCTGTAGTATTAATTTGGGCACATTTAGTATTTCAATTATTGATGATTATTATGCATTCAATATTATATGTGTAACTTGCTGTTGGCTGTAAATAAATACAAATTTTATACTCCTTCATTAAGTGGTACTTTATAATATTTATACATGTAAAGGTCTGCATGTGAGAATCATACCCCTACACGAGCTATTCTTGTATTGAACTAACCCAAGTCCTTTACAGTGAGCTTTTTTTTTCATCTCACTCGGGGTGGGGATGGAACAAATAGCCCTATAACCCAGTAAAAAATCTGCCAAGCTGTTCCACAAAGGAGGCCACCATAATAGAGAGTGATAGAAATGGCAGTCCTATCTCAGTATTGTATAGGAATGTGAGGTTGATTCCCCATGGCTAGCCTTGCCTTAAGCTACTATAGCAGCGGACTCAGGACAGAGTTGAATGTTTATGAAGCTTTTTTAGTTTGTTATTGGGTATTTAAAAAAGTACATGTATTTGTTTTATTTCTGTATTATACTAATTTAAAAAAAAAAAAAGCTACAGATCCTTTTTTAAAGTTTCCTCTATTTGTTTAGGAATTAGATCTGACTTTTTAAAACTAATATGAATTCTTGAAATTACAGGCTAATACATCTAGTTTTGATTTAGAACTATGCATTTTAACTCTTTCTCTCCTAACTGACGATAACAACGTTGATTCCACCAGAATATGGTAAATAATTACGGAGAGAAAGAGTTAGGGTTAGATCTAAATGTGTACACAGATGTATAACCACAGGCTCAAATATAAACTAAAAGCATTATATTGTTTGTGAAGCCACTTAAGCAAATTATTTAATTGAATGGATCTCAGTGTGAGGAGTTGCTTGTGTGGACTGTGATTGAAAGAAAGAATTATGTTTATCATTATACTTTAATTTATTCAAAAGAACCATTTTTAAAAATTGTTTACATCCTTCAAGTCAAGTAAATAGATTACAAATGTTACGAGCCCTTAGAACAGAGTGGTTCAAGAGTTTATTTTTAAAGACTTAGACTGCTCTGTAAATATGTGATTACAAGAACTCTTTTTTTCAATTCAAAACAAGAACAGCAACTACAATTCCACAAAAGAGAATAGGCATAACACATAGAGAAGTAATCATCTTCTTTGAAGTAACATCTGTATTTTATAAGATAAGAAGATAAGTTCATTGAGTGACTACACTCCCTAGTCATATAGTGGCACTGATACAGTCTCACAGAGTAGGAATTAATAATAGTGGCAACCACTCCGGGATTTGAACCTGACATCTACTGTTGAGCAGTACCCAAGTCAGGAAATAACAAGACACAACACAAATGAAATCTAAAGTTATCCAAGCCAGGAAATAACAAGATATAATACAAATGAAATCTAAACTTACCCAAGCCAAAACATTTGTGTAGAATAGCTCTGTACATTTATAGCCAAAAGCAAAACCAGCAACAACAGTCAGGAAGAAATTAAATACAGTGATTAACTGTCTGTTCATTGTTTTGACTGGAACAAAAAAAAAAAAAGAAATCAATGGATCCAACATACATTGTAGAAGCTATTTAATAATCAATAACAACTAAGAATCAATTGAGTGCTAATTAAAAAAAAAAATCACTTAATTCAATACACATTGTATAACCTATTTTATAATCAACGAAACAGAAGAAAAAGAAAGTTTTAAGTCAGCAGACAACAAATGGTCTGCAGTTATAACTGTGCAGTACACAAAACTTATACGGCACATTTATGCTGATTAGTGGTATGATACTATATGAATTATTTATTATTATCATTAAATTAAAAAAAAAAGGTTCACAAGAATTTAAGAAAAAAAACTATAGTATAGAAAATAAGAATGAGAAAGTTTTGGAGCTTCACCTACCTTGCAGTGTAATGGTATTTAGAATAGCCAAACTAAAAAGCTTTACTTAATAAAATACATTTTAAATATTATGTTAAATTTAAAGAAAGAAAATGTAATTACCATCTTGATGGAAAGATAAAACGTCAGACTGGAGATGAAAAGAGATTAAATGTTTCTATCAACATTTTAGCTTTGTCATAACAATTGTAAAAGTAAACAAAAAATAAATACATGCATTAATATAAATAGCTAATATGATCTTATGAGACCAACAATGAATTGATATATATTGGTGAATAAATACCTTAGGGCGTAAATTTCTTGTCATTCTTTCATAGTCTTTGTTCTGCTCAATCACTTTCAACTTCTGAATTCTTGCTTCCAGCTCTGGATCCTACAAAATATTCCAGAAAATGTATATTTGTAATAAACCAGCCGAAGTACAATGACTTTCTGACACAGTAACTTGTTTGAGACAATACAATCAGTTCACTCAAGACCTTTAGGTTAACCCTTGCTTGTAGTCACATGACTAGATGATGCTATTTAAAATTACTTAAAGTAAAAATTTTATTATAAAAAAAAAAAAGAATGGTCGAGTTGCATGGACATGTGATATGCGCTTCACACTGTGGTCAGGAAGGCCCTGAGTTCAAACCTTGCTATACTGTCCTGCATGTGGTTTGGACTAGGACTTAATAATCTTTATTTCTGAAGGAACATCTGAACATCAAAGTCACAACTTGTATTGATGCAATTTTCAACAGCACTATGCAGGCTAAAATAAATTCTATAGGTTGAAAAAAAAAAAATTTTCAATGGTCACAAGTTCAAACCTGCCTGCTGCCAACCATAGCAGGAGGTTTGGACTAGGCCTTAATAATCTTAATAATTATGAAAAAAAAATGACTGAAACTTAGAAAAATTATTAAAAAAAAACCATAAACCAACTTAGAAAGAAAAGTAAATATTTTTTTTATATATCAGGAATTCATGGTTATATAGAACTTTATGGAAATTTATTTTGTCAAAGCCAAATACTATTATGCAAATACCCAGTATGTGAAAATCAATTGCATATTAAAGTACCATCAGAGACAGGTAAGTGTCAGATGTGACAAAAAAAAGTGGGTAACCATAGGTCCTTATTGCCACAAAAATACTGATTTTTTCGTTAATCTTCAATCTCAATGAAAAAGGCATATTATTATAATATAGAAATAATTATAAATAAATAAAACTTACCCGAGGTGGTAGTTGAACTGACTGAGGAATCAATAGAGCATTTTCCACAATTTCATGCAAAAATAT